CATCTGTACAGTGAGTGTGAGTATATTGTAGTTGTTCAATTAAAAAAATACTTTATTGATCACAAAAGTAAATTATATAATATAATAGTAGTTAAATAGTAGTTCAAATGCATGTATTTTAGTTTAGCTGTGCTCCCCAGTAGGACTTAGAGTGTGTAAATAAATAATGCACCATTGTGACACATTCGTTTGAAGATGTGGTTCTGCAGGTTTGTCATTCTGAGTGTCTTGCACTGGGTCAGACTCTGGCTTGTAAATGTAAGGCTGGATTGACAAGTCTACCGTTGTTGACATCCTTATACTTTCTTGCCATCTGCCATCACTAATATGCACCTTTATATACATTCATTTTTGTACTGTACTTTACGGTGTATATTTGTATAGAAATAAGCATATGTGTTTATGTATATGTGTATATGTGCATTGGTACATTACCGTATATCACGTGTATATTGTGGGGTTTTGTTTATCTTTTATTAATCTTTCATTATTCTTCTCAGCCTCTCTTGTATTAAGCTGCAGTAATGTGYAAATTTCCAGACTGTGGGATCAATAAAGTTTTATCTTATCTTATTTTATCTTAAAAACAGTTTTTAGTCGGTAGAAAACTGTTTTTGCAATGAAACTACAAACATGGCCAAACAGGGTGGAGTCGAACGCTCAGCGACCTGGAGGGGGCAGGGTGTGAAATATCTCATTTGCATTTAAAGAAACCGCACCAAAACAGCTTGCTCTGAGGTGCAACTCAGAACAGGGGTAAAGCAAGGAAAGCAAGGAGTCTGTGGAACAAAAAAAAACCAACAAAAAAAACGAGGAATTAAGACCAAAGTGTTGCAGTTTTATTTTAAATAGACCATAAGAGAATGATTTAGATGTGAAAAAGAAGGATTTAAAAGCATGACATGATACCTTTAATGACCTGAATGGATATTTTCTTAAAAATGAATGCCAATTAACAACTTCTCAGGGTACAAATCATTCACATTCACTTATACTGGCATACCCAGAAACCTCTATTAATGTGGTCCCAACATGAACAAAGATATTTTTCTGAAATGTCAAATCCTGTGAAGTATAACATGTTCCCAATACATGCATTATGTTTGTATATGGTTGAATGGTAGAAAAGTGACAGTAAGCTGCACACACTTTACATGACAGAAGAGCCAATTTACAAAGTATTTTACAAGTGTTTAGAGTCTCTCAAGGGCAACATTTTCCAAAGTTACAAAGTTGTGTGAGTTGATTTGTTGTTGTGATCTTACCCTCTTGTGTAATAATACATTGTTTTGTGGTTTATCCACAAACCTTGGCAACAACTACAGACTGTATCCATTATTATTCCATTAAGAAATAGGGTCCTAGGAAATCTGTAGGATTTATTTAAACTTTTTTGTAAGTATTTTTATCTCCACGTGATTTCCATGTTCTATGATGTTACATTCACCAAAAAAGTGTTAATGGCAAATTAATAAAATCTCAACTGTTCAACAGAAAATAATTCAATTTTTTCTTTATATTAACAAATATACTGCAAATACATTTCAATTTAACACTATAGATTTGGCATCCTTCATTGCAGGTGACCTATGATGGCCAAAGGTTTTCTATTGCTAGTAACCAATGGGGCACAACTCCTATATTGGTATGGCACCTGGCATTTGCAGGCAGTCTCCCATCCAAATACTAACCAGGTCCAACCCTGCTTAGCTTCTAAACACAGATGAGATCTGGCACGTTCAGGGTGGCAATGACCTTTATGACTGTAAAGCATTAGTAAGCTAGAAGCACTAGGAGAGCGCAAACCTCTGCCAAGACCAATTTCCCCTATGCTACAATAGTGAAGAACCCTTCAAAAAATCCCTGGTCATAGCTGTTGGCCCTGTGGGTCCTGCGTGTGGTTGCTGGTGGGGCTCTCCTGGTTCTCTCCTGTGTTCCTCGCAGGGGGGTGGGTGGGTAGTTCTTGCTGCGTGGGTGGCCTTGGGGGCTCAGTCTCTCTCGGGGTCTGTGGCTCTGGTCCCTCTTATGTTTGCCTTGGGTCTTGGGGGTCGGGTCTGGGGTCCTCCACAGTCACTATTCAACATTCCACTGGAGAAATCTTGTATTTATGTGCATGTTGACAACCGCACAAAAATAGATATTTGGATCCTGGGGTTTCTGACAATCACTGGATGCATGTATGTGTATGTATGTGTGTATGTGTATGTNAACATTTTTTAATTATTGCTCACTGAATAAAGACACAATAGTTACCTCAGAAAATGCCTGCTTGACTGCTTTTGTCTCCACGGCTTGAGCAGTTTTTTGGGCCTCGTACATGTGGACCTGCTGGGTCAGCCTCTCCAGATCCTTGGTTAGATGAGTTATGTACAGGTCCTGATGACACAGGACAAACAGCAGAAACTCAACCACAGCTTCCAAATCAGTGACGAGTGTGAAAGACTTCCTGTTTCCCACAGGTCGGACTTGAGCTTGTGCTTTTACCTTTTTCAATTTCTGCTCTTCTGCTTGAGTTTTCTCAGCTCCCGCTCTGTGCTTAGCCTTCTTCATGGTTTTACCTTTGGAGCGCTGATCTTTGCTGACTGCTTGTGCTAAGCTGAGGTGCTGCAGCATTTTCTCCAGTTTCCCTTGCAGTTCGGTGACTGGGAGAAAAACAGGAGAACACATGATTGTAAAGTTAGAACTGACTTTCTGCACCTTTTGACTGTTCTTGTATGATACTGTTTATTCTTCTGTTGTATGGAGCTGTTACACTACAGCTTGTAAAATGTCTCTTACACATTTAAACCTGTATAATGACAGATTTGAGTGTAAAAATAGAGAGAATCAAGAGACGTATAGAAAGGAAGAAGCATAGACAAGCCTACCGTGTGCTTCCTCTTGGCTGCGCTGTTTGCTCACGTCAGAAAATTTGATCTTCGCCACCTCCAGTTGATCTTGTGCCTGCCGACGCCGGACTTGTGCGTCCACTCCGGCCTGCTGAACCTGCTCCATTTTGCGTTTCACTTTCTCCAGTTTTTCCTGAACGTGGCGTGCCTCAATGCTCACTTTCTCCCACCGGAGGTCAGCTGCCTTTTTACGAGCGCGCTGAGGTCATAGGAAGGAGGAAAAAAATAAAATAAAAAAGAGCATAAAGAATAAATCAGAACAAAAATCTACAAACGTTAATTAATTAGATTCAGATCTGATTTTTGTCATCCTTGCATTCTTTTCCACAAATATTTCCACCAAACTTACAGTGTTTTGTGCTGCACCAGCAGGTCACACATGAAACTATTGATTATTTGTTATTAAGAGAAAGGTAACTAACCTTTTCTTTCAGTTCCTTCTTGATCTTTTCCAGTCTCATCTTGAGCTCACGGTTTAGAGCTTCCTGAAACTTTATACACATAGGCTGCAAATACACAAACACACACAGGGAGAGGATAGTGGCTGTGCAGAATATTTGACAGAATAATGTGTATAAACTCWGTCATCTATTAAATAACTGTGAATAAAGTTGTTTCATTGACTACCTATTGACATTATTTTGTATTTCATAGTAAAGAACAAGTAACAAACATGGTCAGGGTCAAGAGAGGGTAACTCCTTCTCTTCTGGCAGCTCTGGGTCGGTCATGACATCTGGTGTGTTCGAGCTCGACAGGTGAGGAGTCGGTGCTGCTCAGAACAAAACATAGGAAATGAATTAAACTATGTAGCAAATTACAATTTTTTAATGTTTTTTTAAATTTTATCAGTCACTTGGACAATTCACCTACACTGCCATCACTAATATGCACCTTCATATACATTCATTTTTGTACTGTACTTTACGGTGTATATACAG